ATAATAGTAATATATAACGTATGCTTCAAAGCTACAAATGTATTTGACAAATGAAAATGTATCGCACAGATACAAAAGTATCTACAGCAAGCAAACATATCAAACTGACCGCAAAAATATGGAGAAATATGCTTATATCAACAATGAAATGCAAACACAATTTTTTGGGCGTTTATTTTTAATTCTTCAAAATAAAAGCATGAACATAAATCTAAAAAAAAAAAAAAAAAAAAAAGGCGCGTGAACGCTAAAAGTCAGAGCTAAACGCATATCGGCATCGATGATATCATAAACTTAACAGCATCAGAAGCGAAACAAAAGCCATAAAACCGAACCGAGCTGAGCAAAAAATATGATCAACAACAAGAATAATATTGGGGGGAGACATAGAGGCAACGGTCGGAAAAAAAACTGATTTGAAGGAAATAAATATACACAAATTTAGCAAATTGAAGAAATTTATTTCACAAAAATATCTTTATTTTAAAATTTTGTTTAAATATTTTTCTTTTTAGTTTTATGTTATTTTTAGAAGGTCTTGCAATCTAAAACTTCAATCGAATTGAATACACTTATTTATTTATTTATAAATATATATTTGTTCTTAAATTGTATTCCATTTTATAAAGAGCTCTTAACCCACTTTTATACGAGTTCCCGAGCATCAGAGCAACTGTTTTATAAATCAAAACAAAATTTGTGCAGGGCAATTATACTTAAGATATCGAATTTCTATGATAGAGTAGCTCAAGCAAATGCACAAAAAAGAGGCTTAAGTGTGTGTAGAGGAGATGAATGTAACTGCACAAGAAATTGAAGGCATTTGAATAGGGTATAAGGTTACCACGAAGTCCTTCATGGGGCCAAATACTACTTTAGCTGAAAAGCCAATATTTGACTTGGCTTGTAAGTGCAACATCATGTCAACGTATCAGATGCCAAAGCCAATAAGAGAGAGGCTCAGCTTTCAATGGAATGAAATAAATATTTGAAATGTTTTTTAGAATATTTCAAAATTGAAGTGAAAGCATAGCTAGAGTAACTCCCAACTGACAATATGAAAGAATAGAGAGAGAAACTGCGAGGGGCTGAGAGAGAACGAGAGAGATAGACAACAAGAGAGTATGCTGTCTACTGTCAAATGGCAAACACAAATTAAAATAATAAATAAACGAAGCATGACCAACAGCCATGAATATGCCACATGCGTGACTCTCTCTGTCTCTCTCGGTCGGCCTCCCTACATCTGCCTCTCTTGCTCTGTCTTAATTTATAAATGTCTGGAATGCCTCGATATATTTTATAGCTACATAATCAAGCTTTAATTATGTTGCCACTATATATACAATATATATATATATACATACAAATATATGCCACATGCGTGACTCTCTCTGTCTCTCTCGGTCGGCCTCCCTACATCTGCCTCTCTTGCTCTGTCTTAATTTATAAATGTCTGGAATGCCTCGATATATTTTATAGCTACATAATCAAGCTTTAATTATGTTGCCACTATATATACAATATATA